TAGATAGATAGAGATAGATAGATAGATATAGACAGATAGATATAATCTCACATACACATTCGAACACACCTGCCCCACCACACTTAGAAACAAAATGGCGCCATCATAACAAAGGGCGTTTCTACTTTCTTTATAGAGAGTAAGAAAAGGACTGCAATGCCATTTCACACACCTGACCTCCTTTAGTATCCATTAAATAGTCTGTGAATATATTAACACAAAACATACTTCACAAAGTATTAAAAAAAACACATGTTTAAGATCACCACACCAGCTGATTCTCTTACTCCTCTATGGAAAATTTACAGGCCTAGATGCCTAAGTATCTTAGTCTATATGGTGGTATGGAAGGTAGTTAGACTTGGACAGCGGGTCATCTAATGTTTCTCCTGTGGTGAAAATTTTCCATTAACAGCAATGGATATTTCACACAGTAACATGCTGTATCTCTGTAATAATGTGATTTCCTCCAGTTGGCGACCACAAGAAGACCACAATCCAGAACAGCAATTCTTCCCTCGAACTAAATAACATTTCAAAGCTCGCCACCATAAACACAGAAACACAACACCTTTCATATATGTACCCATACGGAATCAACCCTAGAGACATGATTAAGACATATCCATTTTCACAAACAACACTCAGGCTTTCGTATTGTATATCATTTTATTTATTCATGAGCACAAGTCGCGAACTGGGGTTTGTAATAATATAAATAACATCAAGCAGTCCCAAGGGCAAGGCATTACGACTATAATACAAAAAGATCAGATCACACTCCACTTGATTCCGGGACACAAAGCACACATGTTCAACACTCACTTCCAATCAGTATTCACAAGAGAAAACAAAGATAAAATAAGGACCTTACCCGAGCACCTACTCCAGATGACATTGCGATATTCTCAAACCTGATTATTTCACTGCAAACCATCTTCGCACTTTGGTTACTTCTGGAAAGCTTTCTGACGAATTGCTTTGTACAAACACCAATTCAGTTTTCGGGTCCTCATGCTATAACCCCACCTCACCTTCACCACATGCAATTTTCTAAAACTTATCATAAACAAACACATAATGAATCACTCGTTCAAATATAAAATCCTCAGCTTGTATTTGGACCTAAAAGATCACGCCAGCAACAGCTCATTATCATCCACCATAGCTTAGCTGAACGTGACTTTTAACGGGCTGATATTATCTCGCTTAACATTCTCAAAGCCTTTGACAAAGCTCAAACTAATGCTCAGATTACAAGACAGACTACTCTTTCTCACTGCATTCCCAATGAAGTAGACCAAACCGGTTCTTCAGTCAGAACGATCCGGTTCTCGTTGAATTGGACCGAGCCGGTTCTCGCAGACGGCTTTTGCTTAGACCCTTGCTCCTTATGTAATCCAGCCACTACTCTCGCCCCCCTACCTCTTCGTAATTTCGTTTTTTAACTTCCTTCTACTGTATCTACATAATTCTTTCCTGACGAAAACCGATCTCATAAGAAATACTCAATGGAGATTCCCTAGAACAATAGTAGGAGAGCAGGACATTGAAATCAGGCTACACCAGTACAATAGTGTGTTTTTCTTATACAAGAATACCTGCGCATCCTCATACGTAATTATACACAACATAACTACAC